GGAAACCCTATACAGGGTCACTATTAGAAATGACCACCACCACCACCGGAAACATTCTATGCAATGTGGTGATAAAAGATGCATCTAGAAAAAATTTAGTCAAAGTTCTTTCTTGAATGTTTCTTTGAAAAGTATTGAGCCAAAGATATTTTCTCTAATTTAACATTATGACTTCCTACAAACAGAAATAAGTTATTTGGTATACTCAATCCTATTAAGAAACTTAAGAGCTATCTTAAAATGTTTAATAGAAATTGTAAATAGGGAGTATGCTGAATCACCTTTTCAAAAGTCCATCATGGAACTAGCGTCGCTTCAAAATCCCTTCAAAAGGAGAAACGGAAAATGCTAACTATAAACTGTCATTGTGCAGCCTCGATTAACAGGGAACCGTGATTCACAACACACTGGGGACAAGGAACCCTTCAGAGAGAAGGGTCTCGTGGACATACACATCATTTCTCAGCTACCCTGCTAGGAGTGTTTTCTCTGTGCTGACACTAAAGGGAAGGATGAATGAGTTTAGCATCCAGGCAGCTGAAACTAAGAGCTTCGGTAAGTAAACAGGTTCCAGCAAGGGTCCTGACCAGGTGAAAATGGGACTGCTTTTGCTGTTGTTTTCAAACCTCCAGTGGAAAGACATAAGGGCTTTCTGAGATATAGCCAATCCAGCAACTGGCTATATTCTGCGGCCCGCGCGTGGAGAGATTAAACCTGAGTAGGGGTGACGGGAGATTAGAAATAAAAGGAAGACACAAGATACAAGTGAAATAAATAAAGTTGTGAGCAGGTGGGACGCAGCACACTGATGGAGATACTACAGCACAGACCAAGGCAGCGAGTTTATTTATACACAGCTCAAGGGGAGATGCTTGAGAGAGGGTAAGGAGTACAAGAACATCTTGTACTGAAGGAGCCAGCAGTAAGCGGAACTTTATCAGAAAAACTGTAACTTGTGGTAGCTAGCTGGATCACTGATAGAGCGGCTAGAATGTTGTGCAGGCTGAGCCTAAGGACATAGCTAAACACAAGGAAAGACCTTCCAAGTTCCCTGTCCTATGTGGCAGCCCTGCAAGTTCCTCCGGGGGGCAGCTTGACTTGGACGTAGCCCGTTTCTGGACCACAACTCTCCAGTTGCAATCCTTCTGTTAAACTACCCCCAGTCAGGGACCTTCGGCTCAGCTGCTCCCAACACTGAGATGGCATGTTGTTTTGCCACAGAACCTCTACACATCTGAAATGTGCTGTCTCAAACCCAAGATCTATGATCAAACACCATGGCTTATGAAACATGTTAACTTGGATTGCATGGAGTGCAAAACATGTTGAATGTAGGAAATCATTTGTAAATTGGACATGCTGTTACATTGTGTGTGTTGCTTTGTTTTTCTGGTCTTTTTGTTATTTTCTTCCAAACTGTACATGTTCTGGAAATCTTTGGGGTGTGGAGGGGAGATGGGTAAAAAGTTAGTCTGTCCGCCCCCAGCTGCTTCTATCTAGATACCTTTTCTTATCGCCATTTAACACAAAGCTGTTCTTCCACCTAACCACTGTGATGGACGGCAACACAAAGTCAGGGTGTCGCCATTTTTATTTTTGGTTTCACAGATTTACTTCTCAACTCCTGGGCTGTGGGGAGAGGACACACAAGGGCCCAGCCAGACTCCTTTCTCTTTGGGTGATGTTGGCTCAGTGACTTCACCTCTCTGGGATGCAGCTTCTAGGTCTATAAAGGAACGACCTGCAGGCCTGCTCACAGCCCAATTAAGGCGACAGGATTCAATACATTTGGTATATATAAAAAATTACATGAATACTAATCAGCTCTTAATCCTCTCACTTGCAGCATGTTTTGTGGTGGTGGTTGCATGCTGATGAAGTCCAAGTAAGTTCTAACTCATTGAGATCCTGTATAAGGTTTCCAAGGCTGTAAATCTTGACAGCAGCAGAAAGCCTCATTGTTCTCCTGCTGACCTTGGGTTAGCAGCCTATCTCGTAACCCAGCATAAACTGTATCAAATGCTGAATAAAATGAAAATGATAAAGCAAGCAGTAAGGAGACGTTTGTGCCTATCGCAATGACCTAGTGCAGAGAGGAACGTGGGCTACGGCAACTCCCGACGTATAGTGAGGAGCATGTGCCCACCACCAGGACTCTGTGTGTTTCTGTATCAGTGAAACACAAACTGACATTTCATCTGTACAGACAGTTCTAGAGTTTTGAAATAGTCTGAGAAAACTATAATCAAGTGTTACAATATATCAAAACTTACAAACACAAAAACACCATTGGGTTAGAGGCAGCTCACAGGATTTTACTCAAGTTAAAACATTTCATTCCATCATCTGCCACCATTAATGTTACTATTTTCAATATTATTTAGTCATTATTGCTTCACCTTGGAGAAGCCCGTACTTTTAAAAAGCTTGGGTTGGATTCCCATAATGCTTATCCATATGGTCTAAAGTCTTTCTTCCTTGTTGTTGTTGTTGTTAAGTGGTGTCGAGTCAATTCCGACCCATAGCAATCCTGTATAGGGTTTCCAAGAAGCAGCTAGTGAGCTTGAACTGCCAACCTTGCAGTTCAAACGGCTTTGCAGTCTGGCGTATTAACCCACAGCGCCACACCAGAACTCCTTGTTAGAAATCCCTTAATCATAAGAGAAACTGAGAGAAAGACAGATACTGAAAAAATTATCTTTATTAGAAGTAATTCATGGCTCAAAATCTTTCAGGATTTTTTTCTTGGGGCTTTTATTTGGGAAGTGTTCTCATAAATGACCTACCTCAATTGTACCACAGAAGGGCAAAGTGGGCTAGTACTCAGAATAAAAGGGAGTCTTGGTGTGGCACTGTGCGCTAACGCGTCAGACTGCAAAGCTGTTTGAACTGCAAGGTTAATGGTTCAAGCTCACCAGCTGCTCCTTGGAAACCCTACACAGGGATGCTATGGGTCACAATCGGCTCGATGGCACTTAACAACTCAGAATAAAAAGCATGTGGTCCTATTAGAAAAGAGCCCTAATGGCTCCAACGGGTTACAATGTGTCCCCTACTAACAAAAGGGGACAAACCCACACACCACCTCCATCACCACTCCTCACAACCAGTGTTGTTGTTGTGTGCTGTTGAGTTGGTTCTGACTTGTAGCGACCCCATGTTGGGTTTCCCTAAGTGGCTGGTGGATTTAAACTGCATTCCAGTGGTTAGCACTCCAGGGCTTAACCTTCAGCACCGCGCCAGGGCTCATTCAGTAGTAAGGTTTAGTTAGGTACACGGGAGAGGTAGTAACTAGGGAGATAACCCATGGGCTAGGATCTCTGGAACAAAAATTTCTGTGTTGAATAAGCCGTGGTTGGAGGGAGATACAGTCTGGAGAAAGTGACAAGAGAACAAGAAAGTGTAAAAAGAATACCAGGCTTCCCACCAGGGGATGCACAAAAAGGGGGGGCTTCTATTAAGGACAGTTTTGGGGGCTTTTCTTTGACATGAGGGTATGTGAATGAGTTCAGCTATTTTCATATGAAAACTGAACTGATACTGAAAAATGGAAAGAAGAATCAGATAGTCTCTCCTTTGTTCAATAAACAATGGCAGAGAATTTGTGTGCATGGCAGTGGGTCAAGGGGTGAGGGAAACTCAAGTTACAGTGTGGTCCTGACTTGAAGAAACAATCCAGCAGTGACCACCAGAGCCCAACAGCAATCACACTCAGAACCCCCTGAAGGGAAGGCATTCCCTAGTCACCTCCTTTGGATGCTCGACATGTCCGCCTGCCCTGCCCACACTCCCAGTCTCTCCCTTCTCTCTCTGGAGTTTGAGAGCTCAGAGCTTGCTTCACAGAAACCCCTACTGCCACCAAGTCCTCATGTCCACTGCAGCTCATAGCAACCCTACAGGATAGCATAGAAGTACTCCACACGGTTTCTGAGATGGAAACCTGTACCGAAGCAGATGGCCTCATCTTTCTCCCACACAGCTTGTACAGTTAGCAGTCCAGCATTCAACTCACTAAGCCTCACAGGCACCTACAATACTGATGTGTTGTGAAAAGGTCTAGAAAGTTGGAAGAAGTTTTGAGAAGGGAGAGCTGTGATGGTGAAGGTGCAGGTAAGGTGTTCTAATCAGAAGGCAGGGGTAAAGACAGGCCAACAGGCAAACCCAGTATGTGGGGGCCTAACAGGAGGCAAGGATCAGCTAGAAAGTAGAGCTTTGCTTAAACAGCAGTGGGAGTGATGGAGCTGGGAAATTAAGGGCATGTCACCTGAGTATCAGTTTAGTGTGCCAGGCCTTATCTTGTACGCTAGGAGGGGCACTGAATGGATGAGGCAAGGGAGTGACTGAATGCTTTAGGTATAAGTTTGCAAAGATTAATTTTGTGGCCCAATCAAGCACAGAAAACTCAGAAATTAGTTTCCCATGATCCAAAGCAATGGCTAGGTTCTTAACCCAGATGATGGGGTGAGCACCAAAAGTCAAGGACCTCGAGAACTCTGTGGGAGAGCTGCCATCGTTCCCTGCTTCTCCCCTAACTAACACGTAGTCTCCTCAAGCTCAGTTACAGCAGATGAAAGAATAATGAATGTCTGTTGTCGCGTGCCGTCGAGTTGGTTCTGACTCACAGCGACCCTGTGTCATTTCCCAGGAAATTACAGTGGGTTTAAACCGCTGACCTTGAGTTTAGCAGTCCAGTGCTTATCCTAAAGTGCCACACCAGTCAGGGTACGCAGCCTTCTAATATTTGAGTTTTCTGTACTACTTTGGGCCACAAAATGAGTAACTTGTTGATACTGTTGTATAGGGTTTTTTGAGGCTTTTAAAATCTTTGCAGGAGCAGAAAGCCTCATCGTTCTCCCACAGAGCAGCTGGTGGGCTTGTGGTCCTCAGTCCAGTGAGTATCCTACAGAGCCATAGCGCTCCCCCAAAATCAATTAGAGGGTCTTAAATAGCTTCGAAGGAGAGAAACTTTGAAGTGTAGCAAAATCTTTCAGGCGTCTTCTTTAAGATTGCTTTTGGCGCTTTGGTTTGTAAGCAATCAAGATTGAGAGAGAGGCTATTCCAAAGACGAAAGTCTGTGTGAACCAGAGCAGCCGCGCTCGACCATTTGTGATGCCTTTAGACCTAAAAAGACAAAAAGACAAAGGAAAATTAACACCCAAATTTTAATCTGAGGTTAAACACTAACTACCATCTTCGATATGGATTGCGTCTCAATGTCAAGAAAACAAAAATCCTCACCACTGGACCAATAAGCAACATTGTTATCAATGGAGAAAAGATTGAAGTTGTCAAGGACTTCATTCTTCTTGGATCAACTATCAACACTCGCAGAAGTAGCAGTCAAGAGATCAGACGACGTATTGCACTGGGCAAATCTGCTGCACAGGAACTTTTTAAAGTATTGAAGAGCAGAGATGTCAGCTTGAGGACTAGGGTGCGCCTGACCCAGGCCATTGTGTTTTCAATAGCCTCATATGAATGCGAAAGCTGGACAGTGAATAAAGAGGATCGTAGAAGAATTGATGCCTTTGAGTTGTGGTGTTGGAGGAGAATACTGAAAGTGCCATGGACTGCCAAAAGAACCAATAAATCTGTTTTGGAAGAAGTGCAGCCAGAGTGCTCCTTGGAGGCCAGGATGGCTAGGCTTCGTCTCTCCTACTTTGGACATATTGTCCGGAGGAAACAATCGCTGGAGAAGGATGTCATGCTGGGTAGGGTGGAGGGTCAGAGAAAAAGAGGAAGACCCCCAACGAGATGGATCAGCCAGGTGGCATCATTGATGGACTCAGGTGTGGCAGCGGTAGTGAGGTTGGCCCAGGATCGAACATTGTTTCGTTCTACTGTGCATGGGGTCGCTATGAGTCGGTTCCGACTCGATGGCACCTGACAACAACAACCATCTTCTAGTTTTCAAAATGTGTTCCTTCCATATCTACTTTCACCTGGGTTTATTTTGCTGTTTTTCTGTGGCTTCTAAACTTGAAAGGTTAGCGCATGCATTTTTTAAACCTTTCTTGTTTTTTAATATATGCATTTAAAATAATGCTTTCTTCATAACAAAACCAGTCTTGCCATTGCCCAGGGCACCTTATTATAAAACAATTCCTCATGTGATTCAAACATGCAGACATAGTTAAGAAACAGGGTATCAATACTTCAGAACAAATGTTTTGAAGACAGAACAGATGAGAAATTCTAGCTTAGCCATATACCAGGCTGTGACTGGGCAAATCTCTCAGTTTCTCTCAGAATCAGTATCCTCACTTGGAAAAATATCAATTTGAAATGAAAGTCCTCAGTAGAGCCTGGCACATAATAATAAAACACCTGTCCATATACTCTTTCAAGTTAAACGGCCTAGAATCCCACGAGAGCCAAAGTACAACCTTGAGTATGTCCCAAGTTGGAGGCCACCTCATGAACAGGTTAGATACAGTCAACAAAGACCAGGGCGTTGTGGGGAAACATCACATGTGAAGAAAGCAAGAGGTCATTAAAAACACAGGAAAGAAAGAAAAGACATCAAAATGGATATCAAAAGGGACTCTGAAAGTTGTTCTTGAATGTAAATTTGTTGTTTTGGTTAAATGCCATCAAGTTAGTTCCGACTCATAGCAACCCCTGTATAGGGTTTCCAAGGAGTAACTGGTGAGTTTGAACCATTCACCTTGTGGTTCAAACCGACTCTGAGGTCCAGTGCTTTATCCCACAGCACCACACAGTGAACCCAAGAAGAAAAACAGTTGAACTTTAGGTTTTTTTCCTTAACTTTTTATTGTGAATTGGGTGAAAGTTTACATAACACAGAAGTTTTCCATTCAACAGTTTAAGTACACTCTTTCAGGCCACTGATTGCAATCCCCACAATGTAACATAGTTTATCTCGCTCCCATCATATTTCCTGTTCCCATTCCTCCTTCTTTCCTAACCCTTCTGAACTTTGTCTTTAGGTAAATGCTTCCCTTTTGATCTCAATGTCTGATGATTTTAGGTGTGTGTACCTTCTTGATGCTTTTGTTCTACTTATAGACGGTTTGGATGAAAAGTGAGCTACAGTCTTGGGGGCTCCACCAGTCGAACTGAATAATTTAATAGGCCTGTTCTTTTGCATATTTTTTTGTTCCACGTTTTTCTCCCATGCTATACAGGATCTTCTAATGTGATTCCTTTCAGAGCAGTTGGGAGTTGTAGTCCAGCACCATCTAGTTATTCTGGCTTCAGGGTCATGGAGAGTTATGTTCTTGTGGTCTGTCAGTCCATTGCATTAACTGTTTCTATGCATCTTTGACTTTCTTCACAATTCGTTCCATTAGACAGGAGAGACTGAGTTTTGCCTTAGATGGTCACTCATGAGTTTTTAAGACCCTAGTGGCTACTCACCAAAGTATTATATAGAACACTTTCTTTGTGGACTATGTTATGCCAATTGACCTTGGTGTCTCCCAGATCTTGGGACTTACTCCTCAACATGTTTAGTATATCTAAGTTTTCATAACTTTGCCATCTGTATGCTCCACCACATTCATGTATATATTTGCAGGGAAGGTAAATACATAAATACACATGTAAAAATAATCCTTTATCAAACCAATATATATATATATATATCCTCCACTCTCTGTCCACACCCATTCAGGCTGCATTACTATCCATGCCTCAGGATACAATACTGAAGGATTTCATGGGCAACATACTGAATGCTACAGGACGCATCCAAAGAAGATGGGAGGAATACAATCACTGTATCAAGAAGAATTGGTCCAATCATTTCAAGAGGTACCATAAGATCAAGAACCAATGATATTGAAGGAAGAAGTCCAAGCTGCACTGAAGGCATCAGTGAAAAACAAGATTCTAGGAATTAATGGAATACAAATTGAAATGTTTCAACAAACTGATACCCTTGAGGCACTCACTGGTCTATGCCAAGAAATTTGGAAGACAGATGTCTGGCCAACCAATTAGAAAAGATCCAGACTTGCACCTAATTCAAAGAAAGGTGACCCAATGGAATGTGGAAATCATCAAACAATATCATTAATATCACGTGAAAGTGAAATTTTGCTAAGATAACTCAAAAATGGTTGCAGCATCACATCAATAGGGAGTTAGCAGAAATTCAAGCTGGATTGAGAAGAGGATGTGGAACTAGGGATATCA